CGGCGGCGGGAGGGCAGCAGGACGCCCGCCCGTGCAAGGCTCGTGGCGAGGGGCAGAGGCGGCGAGGGCGGCGAGGGCGGCGGTCGGGGCTCTCCTCGATCGACGCCACGTCGCGGTTCAGCTCCTCCACCAGCACGACCCACTGCGGCGGCACGCAGTACGAGCGCGCGTCCTCGACGCTGTCAATCTCGTCGCTGTGGGAGGAGAGCAGGTTCTTCTGCGCCCGGAAGTCGCGCGTCTGCGAAAGCGTGAGGCTGCGCGACGCAGTCTTGTGCGAGCGCAAACTGTCGCGGTACTTGACAAAGATATGCGTTCGCGAGCGGGTGGGCAGCGCGTTGATGCGCTGGCGGTCGGCTGGCTTGAGCAGCTGCGGGCCGTGCGCAGCCGATGAGGAGGAGGCCATTCAGCGGTCTGGCTCTCGGCGCGAGGCGTGGGGCCGGCGGCGGCGGTCGGCGGGCTGGAGAGGCTATGGAAGGCGCCGCTTCAGACCTGAAAAAGAATTCGGTCGCCCGAGGCGGGGAGTCTCCCCCGCTGGTCTCCTCCTTCCCGTTTTTCCTTTTTCTTTTGAGAGCAGAACGCCGGGTTTCTCTTATATGTTCTTCTATGTGCGTGTCGGGGGTATGTCAGAAGGGTCGGTGAGGGGCAGCGGAGGGCAGGGACGCGCAAGGCCCGAGGCTCAACCATTCGTCGGCTCGTCAGGGTTGGATAAGGGGAAGGGGAGTCTGGGCAGTCGGCGAGGGGGTCGTAGCCAACAGTGCGTACGGGGTAGCCACCACTTTCCTGCCTCACAAGGGCGGGGCTGTCCCGGAAAGTGAGAGACGCCGGGCAGCGTGGTGCATGACTTCAACCTCCCATTGGCATACGTATTTTCGTTCGCTCCTCCCTCGGGCTGTTCCATCTTCCCATCTCCTTCCAGCTCAGGCGAGGCGGGGGGGGGGGCGCGGGTGCGGGGTGCGGTGCGGTGTGAGTGTGTGTGCATGTCGCAGCAGATTTTTAGAAGCCAACAAGAAATAGAAACTCTCTTGCAGAGAGAGAGAGAGAGAGAGAGAGAGAGAGAGTTTTGTTTTGTGTGCTCTTGCATGTCGTGTGACCCCCCCCAATGAACACACCAGTGAGGGAGGGCGAGACGATCGAGGGGTCCCGTACCATGCGGAACCGACCCTATCCAGTGCTCAAGTGCTCAAGTGGCTTCAGCAAATGTCCATCCGTCTGTGTTCTTATTAACAACGAAGGCGCTCTCAAAAAAAGAATTTAAAAGAATTCAAAAATAGTCTCACGCACACCAGTCACCACACAGGTTCTCCCACCCCTCGTTTGGTTTATTTATTTTCTTCGCGGCCTGCGCCGGAGAGTTGGCGGTCGTGCGCTGGGTGGTGATCGTCATCTGTCTGCTCTGCTGTGCTTCTCGCTCGTGCGTCCTTGGACTTGTGCTGACCTCCTTTCACCTCCTGCTCTCCTATGCCACGTGGCTGTGTGTGTTTGGGTTTCTATGTTTGCGATTTCCGATTTGGATTTTGGATTTTCCATTGCACTTTGTTTATTTATTTATTTATTAGCACACAGGTTCGACACAGGTACCAAAAGAGGCACAGCCGGCGACGGAGGACCTTTAGAAGGCGCCGTCGTCCTCTGTCCTCATAAGGGTGGCGGGGCACGATCGCGGATCGGCGGGGGGATACGAGTCGTAACGGTCGAATCCGCGAGCACCGTAGTGAAAAGACCAAAAGAAGAAAACTGAATCTCACGACACTGCTCACTGCACACTGGGCACGGGACTGGCGCGTAAAAATAATTGGAGCACTAGCTCCCTCCAGCTTGAAAAAGAATTTTAAAGCGCGCCGTGCAAGTCATGTACAACAATCATCCTCTCCTCACCACCGAGTTCCCCAAAGCGTCGAGCTCCTCCTCCTCCTCCTCCTCCTCCTCTCCCTCCTCGCCCCCTTCACTCTCGTCGGACGACGGCGGCAGGTCCCGGAACGCGTGGTTGGTGTTGGTGTGCAGCGCCTCGCTGCCGTACTCGTCGGCGGCAGCCGCGCCGTCGCCGTCAGCAAACGCGCTCGGCCAGAGCGACCGGCTCTGCAGGTGGCGGATTTGGTCGCGATACAGGTAGTGGACGAGCGTCGCCTGCACCTTGCCCACCTCCCTCCCCTCCGCCTCCTCATCCGCCTCGCGCTCGACGATGAGGTAGCCTCCTGCAGGGGCGAGGGCAGCGGCAGGGTCACGCGGCAAGAGAGACGCGAGACGCGGCGAGAGAGGCCTCTCATGACGGGTCGGCGTACGCACCGATCCTGATCCAGATGACATTGCGGAACTTTGACGGCACTCGCGCGAGAAACGTGCGGCTCGCCTCGTCGGTGACCTGCACGAGGTTGCCGCCGGGCGTGCCAGTGACGCGCACGATCTCTTGGGACTCGGTCGGCTCTGGCAGCTCGCTCAGGACGCTCTCCACCTTTCGTCCGCGGCCCATGGCGTGCCTCTGGTGCGGCAGCGGAGTGGGACTGCGACTCGGAGCGCGCGTCGTGCCAAAAAGAATTTGTATTCGGGGTACAGGACGGAGGCGACGGCTAGCGCATCACACACCTCTCCTTAAAATCCCTGTGTGG